TATTGTGTGATTTTCTTATGATACCAGATCACACGAGAACAGAACTCTTGCATTATATCAGAACTGACTGTACCCATCCAGACGCCTTTTAAATGTTGTAATTGTACCAGCCTCTACCACTTCCTCCGGCAGCTCATTCCATACACGCACCACCCTCTGCATGAAAAAGTTGCCCTTTATGTCCTTTGTAAATCTTTCCCTTCTCACTTTAAACCTATTCCCTCCAGGTTTTGACACCCCCACGCTGGGGAAAAAGACCTTAACTATTCACCGTGCCCATCATGATTTTATAAACCTCTATAAGGTCACCTCTTTGTCTCCAATGCTCCAGGGAAAATAGCCCCAGCCTATTCAGCCTCTCCCTATAGCTCAAATCCTTCTAAACATTTTCCAGATCCTTTCAAGTTTCATGACATCTTTCTTATAGCAGGGAGACCAGAAATGAGTGCAGGATTCCAAAGGTGGCCTAAACAATGATTTTTCCAGCTTCACAGGCAGGAATCTTACTAATCAGCATTCTTAAGTAGAATAATCATTTTGTGCCTGTCAAGTGACTAACAGTCAATTAATTAGTCAAACCGTTATGATGTCAAAGTAACTCCAGGGAGTGGGAAACTGTGAAATTAAGCAGAATAAATGAATTAGCCGAATTAACTGACAGAGCCATTTAGATAGTTCTGAAGAACGATTTACAGATTCATAGTATTAGGAAGGAAGCTTTTTCCATTTATTTCTGGGATATACTTCACTAGCAAGGTCAGGATTTAATGCCAATTCCTAATTGCCCTTGAGAAGGTACATGTGAACATCTTGAACTGCTACTGTTCACATTGTTCCGTGCTGTAAGGGAAGGAGGATTTGGCCCAGTGATGAGGAAGGAATCACACTATTATACAAAATCCAGATGGTGCGTGATTTGGATGGGAACCTGCATGTAGCAGTGCTCCTGCAATTCTGTGTTCTTGTTCTAGGCAGTGAAGGGCATAGGTTTGGATTTACATATACTGTATCATCACTTTAACCCTCACACTTGAATGGTACGCATAAAGGGATTCAAATTGTAGGTTCTCATCCTCTGCTCGGAGGATGATACAATGAAAAGGTCATCAACCTGAAATGTTAACTCCTTTTCTTTCTCTGCTGAATATTTCCACAATTTGTTTTTTTTTTAAAAAAAAACTTGCTGCACATTAATAATTTCCTCTATTTGCATATTCATTTAGATAACAAACCAAACTGTCACTTGATAGAAAGTGTAATCTAATTATAACTTGATTTTTTTTTTCTTCCCTATTGGAACTTAATAGAATGATAGTCACATAGCACAAGAGGCCCTTCAGCAAATTGAGAAAAAATGTTTCCTCAAATCCCCTCTAAAACTTCCGGCTTTTCACCTTAAAATTATGCCCCTCTCATCACTGAGGCTTCAACTAAAGGGAACAGCTGCTTCCTATCCTCTTGCCATGTCCCTCAAAATTTTACACACCTCAATCAGATCACCCCTAAACCTTTTCTGCTCTGAAGAAAACAATCTGAGCATATCCAGCTTCTCTACATAGTTAAACTACTCCATCCCAGGCAACATCCTGGCAAATCTCCTCTGCACCCCCTCCGGTGAAATTACATTCTTCCTCTAGTATAGGGACCAGCCTACTGCACACAGTACTCCAGCTGTGGCTTAACCAAAGTTTTGAACAATTCCAACATAACCTCCCTGATCTTATAATCTATGCTACAACTGATAAAAGGCATCTGATTTCCATTGCCTTCTGTACCATCTTATTAACTTGTCTTGTTGTCTTCAGGGATCTGTGGACAAGCACCCCAAGATCCCTCTGTTGGTCTGTTCTTCATTCAGTTTCTGGATCTAAAATCTTAACTCTGCTTTCTCAACACATGCTGCCAGATCTGCTGCATTTTATCCCCCCGCAGAAATGTCTGCTTTTGTTTCAGATTCCCAGCATCTGCAGTTCTATTTTATTTTAGCTATTCTCCAGTCCTCTGGTACCTCTCTGGTCATTAGAGAGGAATTAAAAATCTGGGTTAGAATCCCTGTAATTTCTTCCCTACCACAGCAGCCTGGGATACAACTCATTCAGACCTGGGGACTTGCCAATTTTTAAGCCTGACAAAACTTCCAATACTTGTTCAAACCCTAAAACAATCTACTCAAGAATCTCAGTCTCCCTCCCCAAATTCTGTACCTATATCCTCCTTCTCCTGAGTGAAGGCAAAAGTACATATCCTAAAGAAGGGTCCCAACCGGAAATATCAACTTTCCTGCTCCTGTGATGCTGCCTGACCTGCTGTGTTCCTCCAGCTCCACACTGTTGTCTCTGTTATCAGTGCCCTCAGACTCCAAACACAGATTGCCCCTTTGGTCTGTAGTGGGCACTGTTCTTTCCGTTGTTATCCTCTTCTCCTTGATATACTTTCTAATAGAATTTCTTTGGATTCTCCCAAATTTTACCAGCCAGTATTTTTTCATGCCCTTTCTTGGCTATCCTAATTACTCAATATCTCCCCACCCATACTTCCAATACTCCACTAGGGCCTCTGTTGATTTGCTCCCTTTGCACCTGCTAAAACCTCTCTTTTTCTTCCAAGTCCTGAATATTCCTGGATATCCAGGCTTGTGGCTCCTACATTTCTTCTGTAGATTTTCCCACTGGCAGCTGTTCCCAATCTTTACGCATATCTTGCCTTATGTTTGAAATCTACCTACTACCAATTCAAAAACCCTTTTCGAAGACCATCCCTTTCTTTTTCAATAAGAACTTAAATCATACTGGGTTGAGGAAAGGAAGAGATTTACAAGGTTGTTGCCAGGTCTTTGCATCAAGGACAGGCTGGGACTTATTTCACTGGAGTGTACAAGGTTGAGGGATGATCTTATGGAGGTTTATAAAGTCATTTGGTGAATAGCAAAGGTCTTTTCCCTGGGGTGGGGAGTTCAAAAGTAGGGACATATTTTTAAGGTGAGAGGAGAAAGATTTAAAAGGGACCCGAGGGGCAATTGAACTTGAGAAACTAATATAACTCAGGAAACAAAATAAATAGTTGCTTTTCTTCATGCATTTACATTATGCAATTTTGAATAAAGCAATAAATTTAATTACTTTCCTAAAATTAGACTCCTGTGATGAGGTCAGCCAGTTTCCTAATTGGGGCTGTTAGTCTGGTGCAATCAGGGAGCTCTGGCTGATAGTCACTCCTATTTATGTCTGAGGTTCATTTCACGCAGAGCTGGCTCTGAGGAAGCTGGAGCAGTGCCAAAGACTCTCCACATGTAAATAAAGGGTGACGTGGTGACAGGATATGGTCCTCTGTGGAGTTATTTCACCTTGTAAAAATATTCAACTTCATAATTCATATTGTCATAAGATGTGCTTTAAAACAAGCAATTTTTAAAAATCAATCACTGGGGGAAATTTGCATTTAATTGTTAAAAAGATGTTTTAAAACAGATTAAGGGGACTTTGGGGATTGGGAGGGGGGCACAGTTGTGGATGGCTACCCTAAGAAAGCCAGTATGGTTTCCAACAAAACTATGGAACTGTGTACATGATTTTCACTGCTTGACAACTCCATGAAAAGTATCTGGAACACCACCAACCACTCTACATAGCCTTCATCAATCTGACCAAGGCTTTTGACTCAGTCATTCGGGAAGTGCTACGGAAGATCTTATCAACAGCCAGCTGCCCAGTGAAATTCTTCAATATCTCCGGTCTCCTCCATGACAAAATGTCAGTGACAGTCCTCTCAGTTGCGAATATAGCAGAATCCTTTGAGGCCAAGTAGAGTTGGGTCATCATCCCCACCCTCAACTCCATCTTCATCACCATCATACCGCATCTTGTCAACTGCAAGATTCCCAGTGATGTGGACTTTGTCTACAGGATGGACAAAAGCTTCATCCCCAACCTACTGAAATCCAAGAAAATGATACTCACTTCACTGTGGAACTTCAGTACAGACGACAACTTAGAGGAACCTCCTGTATGACGGGGCACAACATTTCAGGATCACTTGATGGCAAGAGGAAGTACTGAAAAGGAACTGGAGAAAGGAATTCCCGTAATCTCAAGGCCAAGGATAATTTCCATCTCATGGAAACACTTACCAAACACAGGTTGGAGATGTGGCTCCAAGATCAGGTTCACCCACAGAACCCATGACCAGTGACACTGAATTTCCTAGGTGGACAATTTTACTTGGTCGCAAATGATTGCCAATGACAATTCCAACTCATTGGAATGGAGATGATCTGTCTGCAAATTCCATTAAATAGAATTACTTCAGAGGAACGTGTACACTATCTCCCATCTCAGTTATTTTCTAAACAACCTGTTCAGAAATGTTGTTACAAGCCTTTGGAGCAAGTGGGAGCTGAAACCTTGCCTCCTAGCTCAGAGGTAGGGAAACATCTCTGTTCTCTCATTCTACTAATTAACCTGTTCATAGATGTTGTTACAAACCTCTGGAGTAATTGCAGCTTGAACCTGGTCCTATTGGCTCGGAGATAGGGTCATTACCACTGTCACAAAGCACCCATCTCCACATATTTCTGAAACAACCTATTTTAAAGAGTAGTAGGAATCTGGAACTCTGTCTGTAAGGGTAGTAGAGGCAGACACGCTCATAACATTTAAGCAGTATTTAGGTGTACACTCGTGATGGCAAGGTACACAAGGTTATGGACCATGTGCAGGAAATTGGGATTAGAATATTCAGGTATTTGTTTTGGACTGATGCACAACTTGATATGCCAAACAGGCTTTTTCTGTCTTATAGACCTTTATGACTTTATTTCATTGTCTTTAAAAAAATTGAACATTCTGTATCTGTACCTGCATCTGCAACATGACAAATGCTCAAGACATTTTTATGTAAAATGTAATGAGGTGCAAATGTAAATTCACCTTACTTAATTTCAAAATTAGTGTAGTTGGTGGATAAATTTCAGTACTGAATGAAATCAAAATTCATAGACAAAGTTTTTGAAGACCACAGCTTTATTTGCATTCACACATGTATCATCTGTAGTGAGGTTTATCAGATAAAATCGCATTTTGAAAACCTTCAGATTTATCTTAAACCATTCTATATCCTGGAGCAGTTGACGTTAGCTGATCAAAATAGTTCCCTTAAAAACAATGTAATCTATAAAAATCTGTTTAAAAAAAGCAGGACTGTTGTCAGTACAAAAAAGCACCATCTAATGTCAAACTTGAGATCAAAATAAAAATCCAGCATGAATGTCAATTGGCAACAATCTTTATATACAAGATCTCTTATTGCACAAACACCATGTAACGGGCAGATGATGAAACATAGCTGGTTAGGTTGCAAGTACGTTTTCAAGTAACTACTTTAAAAGCACTTGTAACATTAACAGCTTCAGGATACCGGTACTTAACAGCAGCCCTTTTCAGTCAACATTGTTTACTCAATGGAAATGATTCAGAGCATTAACAGAAAAGGGGATTTCACAAATATCAGGTCTTGGCGCTACTGACATTTGATAACTGTGACATGGAGCAGAATAGCAGTGCCATGGAATCCACAACCCTATTTGGAACATGGAAACATTATGCAGCACTAGGCTTGAAAGTGACAATACAGATGTTATTCTGCTCTAACTTAGCATTGAGCCCTGATGCTCACAGAGACCAAACATATACATACAGAGCTAAAGTAACTACAAACATTTAAAAGCTTTACATTTAGTTTTATCACTCCTTTAAAATAACCATCCCAAACAATTGCTGGATCTTTTGATTGAACGATTTCAGTGCAAACCACCTTAGTGTGCAGTTTGTGCAATCACAGGTAAGGTTTAGACAGCCAATGATTATACCACGAATAATACCACCATTGAGCTTAAAGACACAACCTATTCCAACGCATCACAACAATGCCTCTGAGCCACTCTACTTTGCAACATTCCAATCAGTTGAATGTTTGAAAAGTAGAAACCAGACTGTAAAGCCCCTTACTCTTTCCAGGTGAGCAGTAATGATTACTGAATGCCACAATTTGTTGCAAAAGAGGGCAAATCTGTTGTAATATTTTTGGGGGAATATACTACAAACTGAAATTTGAAACAAAAACAGAAAATGCTGTACGTACTCAGTAGTCTTTTCAGTCAATATTATGTTTGCTCAAATGAAATGATTTAGAGCATTAACGAACAGAACTTCACAAATGTCAGGTCTTGATGCTACTGTTATTTCCCAACTGTGAAGTTGCAACCAGTGTTACAAAAATCCAAAACAAAATTCGGTACATGATAGTATTATGAAGCACCGAACTGTTATGGAAACAAAGCGGCAAGTTAACACATCAGACATAACCCTTCAAGTCAAACACACACATCTGATGCTAATGCTTCACATTAAATGATAACTTGTCACTTCTTTCCACAGATTTTGTGCCGAATTTTCTAGATATGTTCAACACATTTTCATTCTTGGGTTTGGGTTATTTGCTACACATTCTTAGTAAGGTAGCTGAGGCAAAATACAAAATCCAGTTACTTGGAAAATACAACTCCAACTAACTCCAACAAAATTTCAGCCGAAAGATTGCTTATTGCCACTGAGCTCTTGTCTACAGTCAACTGAGGAGAGCGGTTAGTAACAGAAGTTACATGTAGTTCACTGTAAAATAGGCCAAAGTCAATACTGGTCTACATAATTATTTACATTGGTCTACATAATCCATGTAATTGAAACCGTTTGAAATATTTGGTAACACAAGGCACTGTGCAAAGAAATGTTTACATCATTCTATTTCAGTACAACCTTATCCAGACTCTTTTCTCATTTTCTTGTTTCCAAACAATGTGACTTGGAACTAGGCTATAGTGGAGCATTAATATGCCATGGACTGGTTAGGTGAAATGGTCAGTTTCCAGTGATGTGTATTCTTTGTAAATCTAGATTATAAAAGATTATATCTCACATAATTGCACAATTACATCATCTCCATGAAAGAGGCAATTTACCACAGGAAGTGAGGGCAAATTATTCCCTTTATGGCTAAAATCCAAGAGAACTAAGTATAATTTTATGTCAGCAAATTTGCAGACAAAGGCATAAACCAGATTATAGTAGCTCAACATTCAAAATTGTCCTATATATAAAAACAATTATTTCTGGATTAAGTTTTGTTGTAATGCATAATATAACATTTTCTCTTACCAAAATTAATGCACAAATTAAGTTTGCAGAAACAATTTGAAACATATTGATATTTGCAGGAATAGTCAGTTTTCGGTAAATTAAACTTTCTATAAGTCATTGTTTTTACAGTGAAGTCAATGTTTTAAATACTGATAACTTTCAGTCTATTCTATTCTGAAATTTATTTGCAAGTTGACTTGTGAAAAGGCTTCACTGAAAACTCTAATATGGCTTGAGATTTATTGAGCATGAATCTACTTTTCTACATTTAATTCAAATAAATTGAGAATTATGCACAAAACCTAAATAGTTAAATTCACTGAAGAAGACAATCCTTGTACCTTTTATGTCATCTCTGCAACTGAAAACCTCAATCATCTGATTCTACAGCTTTACAATTTCTCAAGCATATTTTCTCCTTCAGTGTACACACAAATCCATTTCATCAGTTCTATACTGTGATTTCTGGACAAAGAACAAAAAAATACATCAAATGTGGGAAAACTAAAGAAAAAAAGAAATATAGTCTATACATGTTCTTTAACCGTAATTAAGAATTCCAGGTTTGATAGAAAGCATAGTGATTCTCTGTGGAAGAGAGGTCAAATAAAGCATGTGGAAATGTAAGACTTGGTTTAGGTGTCTGTGCCTTTATTTCAGAATAATTAATATTTAAATACAAAGATCTAGGATATTCAAGGGTGGTTGTGTGGCAAAATGTATAAGGAATGGAAAACTTGACCTGCCACAGATCCAACACTTTCTGGAGCAATTGGGTATTTCTGCACACATTGGTGGGGTGGATTCAATATACCCATTCATTACCGGCAGACAACGCATTTTTTTGATGTCTATAGGGACATTATATCACAATTTCCCTAATTTTAGGGAAATAGTACAAGGTTAACAATGTGCATCTGCCATCCAGCAATGCTAGGGTTCAGGTGTGGGAGAGATTTCCACATTCAAAGACTGGTTTGTAGAGTACATTTTATTATAGCACAACTGATTGTGATGTCAACACTGATTAAGGACAGGGGTGCATGGCTTTTTCTTTTCAGAACAGTTTGAGACACAGCCCAGAGGTTTGATGATGCTACAATATCTACAAATTCCTATCCCTTCAAATGGGCACAACCCCTGACCAAAATAGGCTAAACAGCCTGATCCCAGGACACACAAAAGTACAGCATTATAGGACAGGAGGTTCCAATGCACCCCAGGTTCTCTCTCTGCATCATCACCACCCAAAACAAAACAATCCCAATGTAAAAGCTCGAAAGGTAATTTGTGAGCCATGAATGTTTGATTGCACATAGCAAGAGTGTTAGACATTCCTTCGATTACAACTAACTTTATCTAAAGCAGGTTTTAAAAGCTGTTGTCCAAACTTTGGTCATAACTATGTGGCAGTGACTTAAATTGTATTTTGCAACTGGAAAAGACAAGTTATAACAAGAACTGATTAGCCTAAAACTGCCATTACGCCAAACATAAACATCACTAAATAGCTGTTCAGCTCACTCTTCAACAGGCTGCTATGTGGCATACTGGTCTATCATTGCTACTTGACATTGTGAAAAATGGATTTTAACAAAACTATTTTTGATTAAGCAGCTGGTTTCTTCTAGCACAATTTACAGTGAAGATATCCCAATCATCAGAATTTTGGGGGCAACAACTAGCTTATATGCAAGCATTTAAACATTTACAAGGCACATAAAATAGTATCAAAATGGGTTTACTTATGAATTCAAAGTTTTGCAAAATGCTACCCTAAATAGCCTACTTTTAAACCTTACAGCACAACAGTTCCAAACCATCAATTCCAATATGACATTCTGCAAGCTCGACAATTACCAAATTAAAACTTCAAAAATCCTTTTCCCCTTGTTCTCTTTTCTAATAATTATGCTTCTTGGTCAGCTAAAAAAAATCTCAAATGATAAATTTAAGGCAGATCATTCTATTGATAATCCTGATCTGATCACCCTGAAAATTAGTCATTTACAAAAGGAAGAACATATTGTAGACCAAAATACTACTAAACTAGATCTTTATAAAGTTTCTCAAAATCTCTGACCAACATCACACCTGCTTGTTACTATTAATTGTCATTTTAGAAGTAATTGGAAACCATAACAATAGTTAGATGATAATAACAAAATACTAAGTTCTCTATTTCAGATACAATTTGAAATTCACAATGTGGCAAACTTACCTCATAGATATGTCAAAAAAATTATGTTTTGAAATTAAAAAGTGCTGTCAGTTGTTTCTCTCACAGATTTTTGGAATGTACATAAGGAATCTTCAACAAAAAAAAGTGAGAAACGACGACAAGAAAACAAAACTGCTACGTATATCTTCATATTTTGCTCTCACATGGTTTTCATTTTTCCAAGTTGTGCTCACCTGAGTTTGGAGCTGGGAGCAGTTTGCACAAATACACATTCCATTATAATTTCCCTTTTCAAATTTTCCTAGGCTGTCATTTTTAACATAAGCCAGGCAATCATAAATTACCAAGTAAAGCATAGGCATTGTGTTTGCAGTACATGCAATAGATATAACTTCTTTACATGGTTTTCTTAATTTAAAAGCAACTCAGGTTGAGAATAGCAGCAGTAGCTACTTTCTGATATTGCTCATGTTCGGAGGCTGATCACCTGCAACCATCAAGTGGTCCTGCTGAAGCATCCAGGCTGCTGTCAGTATCGGAAGCCAAGGTCTGCTCTGTTGACATGGATGAAATGTCATTGATGGAGGAAGACTGAGAGGGGCTGTTGTTGCTATTCACTGCTGCATCTGTTCTAAGTAAACAAAAAAGGTGATAAAATCTGAGAAAACAGCAGACTGTTACCTATACTCATACAAGTCTTACTCCCCCAAAATAAATCCAGTAAAGGAAATGCAAAGGCTAATAACAAGATCCTACATCACTACTCTAAGAGATTCTCTGGCCTCTCAGTATTGAGTATAGGATAAACTCAACCAGAGATAAACTTTTCTTCATACCAGACTGGCGACACAAAAGAAACAAGCCATCATGGACTGAAGGAAGCAAACAAATTGGGATCAGAGATGTAAATACTATAATTTATAAAATTTGGCCTTCAGGAAAGAATGCTTTATCCTCCTTTTCTACTTTAAATCACATGAGAAAAAAGTAAAGCAAAACTGATCATAAAATTTAGAAATAAAAAGAATGAAGCGGAGTACAATAAAATGACAATTCAAAAGAATTAGAAAACGTAAACTACATGTTGAGTCACCATAGTCATAGCAGACCATTAGGCTCATCAGGAGACAATGGTGGTGGTTTAACCTAAGGGTCACTACACCTCAGGCAATGGGAAAGTTTGAGAAGAGTCCTGCAAGGGAACCTCAGCTGGCGTGGGATTTGAACCTACACTGTTGGTATCTTGCTGCATTGCAAACCAGCCATCTAGCCAACTGAGCTAACTCAGAGTTGATGTAAATTATAACTAGTGATTCCAACACTGATTGTGGGCATTTCTTACCCATTTTCAAACAGTCATATAAATAGCCATTGTATTAAGCTTAATTTTGATAACCTTTTATCAGAAACTTGGTATAAATCCTCACTTCAAAAAGCTAACGAGAAGCCCTTTGAGGTTGTAAATTCCATCAGCCCAGCCCACAGGTTGTTAGGCAATCCACCTGTTTAATTAGTTAGAAAGATTCTTCAAACTTACATCTGATATTTTAAGATTCCCTTATTTTACATTTAACAATAAGACCTATGACTCTGCACGTTTCTTTATAAACTGTCTGGTCAACTTTTTTTAAAATTGGAGCACATCAGACAATTTCCAATATTAATCCTCTCTGGTATCCAGTGACATCCGAAGTGAAAGTATATGGTTCACAAGTCTCTTCCCCATTTTTTTCCTGTTTTGAGCACTCCTCAAAAAAAAAATGCCAGCTTATTCTTGAGCACTAAATAGCCAGGGGCATCTTATATAGGATAAAGTAGTACGACAAATATTGATCTTTGTTTTAGCTCCTATCTTCCCTCCTGAATATCTAAATGCGATGCATTATTTAGTTTATTCACCATATTAAATTCACTCTATTTTATGATTTCTCTTGTACATCAGTTACTAGCACATTATTCAGGAATCAGTGGAATCATGAATTAAATAGATTTAAATTAACTTGGATTTAGAAACCCGTTGATTTTCAGATCGAGAGGTAGTGAAATTGCCTCCTTCTAGGTCCCTTGTTAGTTCTTGCAAAACACTTCCTCGAAGAATCCAGGAATTTACTCATTTCATCACTATTATATGCATTTAAACACATTGCTGTTCTATTCTAGTTACAAAGCAATCTGTAGTCTGCTGCCCCCTGGTGGAAACACCATAGTTTAATCTATTTTTCTAATCAACCTGTTCAGAGATATTATTACACACCTCTGGAGCAGGTGGGCTTGAACCTGGGCCTTCCGATCCAGGAGTAGGGACACTACCATTGCATTACAAGAGGACACCATCATTTAATGGCAATATTGCTGCATAAACTCTTCAGGTATTAGCCCATCTACAACTGTCGCTACCATTTCTTCTGCCAATAGCTACTGTTGACAATTAGATCAGATAACCCATGTTATACAGTTACCATTCCAATAAGTGTCAACGGCAAAGACACCATGAAACCCTCCAAATAGTCTGGGGGGGGGGGGGGGGGGGGGGG